CAAGCTGTAAGAGAAAATTCCAATTAGAAAAGAAATTAATTTGAAAAATTACCTTGACGTTTCGATAACTATTTTCTGCTATCGTTATCAAAAGAACCTAAATGAACCTAAAAAAGAGTTTGTTAATAAATTGTGTAACAATAGTAGGATAATACAGTATATGAAAATTCGCTCTGACAATTCGTCTGTGAAAATTGAATTTTGATATTGAATTTATCAATTTGCACAGACGAATTTTCATATACTGTATTATCCTGCTAATGATACACAATTTATTAATATAATCTTTTTTAGGTTCATTTAGGTTCTTTTGATAACGATAGCAGAAAATAGCTATCGAAACGTCAAGGTAATTTTTCAAATTAATTTCTTTTCTAATTGAAATTTTCTCTTACAGCTTGAGCCTAAGTGTGTCGCAGGATACCCTCTAGGTGATAGTTCTTGATTACTTTTTGATAAATAATTCGATCTTATTGCGAAATAGGAGCACTATTTATCAATCTGTAATAAAAGACGTGCGGAAATTCTGTCTTTTATAAAGACAAAATTTTTTGAGGCGAAATACCCAACAAGAAGTTTGTAAAAAATGAATCCGCGTCAACAATATAGAACTTATCTAAAAATTAACTTAAGCAGACACATTTTGGAACTATGATAGAACTAAATTCGCTCTTTTTAAGGCAAAAGATCGCATTTATTTGCATGTGAATAAGTTTGGAAGAAATATGTTTTTATCTGCCAGTGCTCAATGGTCATTTTCAAATATTCAAAAATCAATTTTAGAATCATCTTTGGAAATTTGCATTCGGTCGCAAACATTTTGTAAATTTGCGACTCGAATGGAGCAAAACTCGCTTTTTCTAAGGCAAGAAAACGCATTTAAAAATCTGACTTAGCTTTGAAGATTTTGACTTGCAACCGACCAAGATCAGTTTCGAAAATTTTCAAAAATCCACGTGAAGAGAAACATTTAGGAAATTTGCGACCTTAATAGAACAAAGCTCGCTCTTTTTGAGCGAAAAGAGTGCATTCCTCAACTTGATTTCGCTTTGAAAAAGAAACATTTTTAACTGCAACCGTTCGACGGTCAGTTTTCAAAAATCATGAAAAAATTCACCAGAAATAACACATTTTGAAAAATTTTACCTCTAAATGAACAAAACTCGCTCGGTTTAAAGAATGTATGGGACTTAGTTTGGAAAAATTAAGATTCAAAAAATCAATTTTCGAATTTTTTTTGCAAATTTGCATTCGGTCGCAAACATTTTAAACCCTTTGCGACTCGAATAGAGCAAAACTCGCGCTTTTTAAATATAAAAAATAATTTTTATCTGCGACTGCTCGACGCTCAGATTTCAAAATTCCAAAAACCCACCTAAAAAAAACACATTTTGAAAAATTTCAACTCTTATAGAACAAAAGCTAAAGGCAAGCTCTAAGTCAAAAGCGCATTTCTCTAACTTAGTTTCGGTGAAAATAATTTTTATCTGCAACCATTCGACGGTCAATTTTTGGATACATTCTGGAAATTTTGAACTGAAAATGAACAAAACTCGCCCTTTTTAAAGCAAAACAGCGCATTTCTCTATTTGACTTTGTTATGAAAAAAATATTTTTATTAGAACTGTCTTGGTCAGTTTTAAAAAATTCAAAAAAAACTCACCTAAAACGACACATTTTGAAAATTTTCCATTCTGATAGAGCAAAAATCGCTGTTTTAAAGCCAATAAAAAATTTACGTTTAAAACGCTAAAAGTTAAATTGTCACTTAAAATTGCAAATCAAGTTTTAAAAAATTTGCTTCCGAACTAATCGAAAAACCGCTTCTTCAGAAAACTTCAAAGTAAACTGCAACGGAACTCTATTTACACGTTGCTGCTTCTATAAGCCGAAAATTTCTATCTAAAGCCAATTTTTCATGTTTTATTTCCCGATTTTCAAACCGCTTATTTCCGTACTGAATAAATCTCAAAAACCGAATTTTTAGGGAAAAGTGCATGCAATGTACTAGCTCTCACTTACTGTGATCTGCATAAAATCCATCGGGACGATTTGCTTGACGTTCTGGAACTCTATCCTGAATTCTTCAACCATTTCCTCACGAATCTGGAAATAACATTTAATCTTAGAGACGTAAGTATTAGATATTGGATGCAATTAAGAAAATAAGCCGAAAATAAAGATAAAAAGTCCTTCCTTCAAGATCAATTGAGAGCAAAATATGTTCAAACACATGAATCCAAGACATTTTCGCCTTCTGCACAAAATAAACACAGAAACAAACAGGTTTAACGCCTGCTGCAAACATCCAGCCTACTAAACTAATAAATTCGCTCAATGCAACGAAATTTGTTCAGGATGAGCAGGCCGGAGTGATTGCTCGAAGATCGTTCTACCCAAAAGACAAGGAAAGTCGGTATTTTAGAGGAGTTCCCTCACGCTCCAATGGGCTCAGTTCAAGAGCAAACTCTGTGATTGGTCGACAGGAGAGTCAATATAGTGATGAGTCCGAATCTGGTAAGGAAAAGTGTTGAAAATCTTCAGAGGTGTTAAAACCATCTCTGAAGATGCAAGGCACTCGCGTTTGCGAAACGCCGGGAAGAAATTTAGAAGTTGATAAAAATTCAGTCTACAGATAACTGATAGCAAACTCTGGATTTTTGTAAAGTTTTTTGATTTTATGTGGGTTTTCACTAGAAAAGTGTTGAAAGGAAGTCAACTCAATTCGATTCCTAGAAATTTGCCGTCACCATTGAATAGCCCGTTATGTGCTTTAGGTCATGGAATTTTGGAATTTTCTACAGATAAAGCCGGCCAGGATGTGACGCCATTGAATCTCGATTTTGGCGATGAAAAACGCCGATCGTCCACCATTAATTCTATTACAGGTAATCCAAGCAAAAACCGTGCTATTCAAGTGTTGCGAATTTTACATGAATGTAGAAATGTGCATAAACATCTATATAAGTTCCAACTGAACCACTGTAATCAAGGGATTTTAGAGGCTCACTCTTTGAATGTCCCAATCGTGTATTTGCGGCTCTAAAATCTAACAAAATCCCGGGTCTATAATAAAACGATTTTTGTATGCGTAAAAGGCTCTATTTGCTGTTTGGATAGAACACGTCAGTGCACGTATAGAGCCACATTTTCGCCTTTGTTCTGGCTTCACTGGCAGATCAATGACTTTGCCTATTTCTGTACAAATTAGTTCAGTAGATGCTTTGCCAGTTTATCATTTAAATGTTATCATTTAAATGTGCTTCAACTCGCCCCAAAACATGCATGACTTCGTCGCAACAACGTTAAAATCGTTTTATTATTGCAGGAGTTCTAACACTAACCACGTTTTATTACATGAATTTGTTCCATTATATCATCACTTATTCAGTTCAATTAATATTCGTCTTTTAATAACACAAATATACAAGTGGATTGTTTTTGTTTTTAATTTCAACGCGTCAATTAAGCATTGTTTGTGTTGTTAGAAAAAAAAACAGTTTTTCTGCATTTTTATGTGTTTAGGCATGTTATCGCAGCTGAAACGCAGCATTCCAGACCTCAGGTTACACAAAACCCATCAACCCTTAGTAGGTAAGTTCACCCACATCATTACTAAGAAATACGTTGGAAAACACAAGTTTTTGGAAACTTCTTCGATGCAATTTTTTAGGGTTTTGATAACTATTTAACCATTCAAAAAAAATAATTGCGTTTTTGTAATGTGTTTTGTCAAAACTCCCGCAAAAAAGAACGTAAGACTTTTGTCACTTGCTTGATGAAATTCTGTAAAAGCAGAGAAGAAGTTTTGTCATGCAATAAAAGTGAGTTCAAAAAGTTCAGTAAGCAAACAAGTTCAGGGAGGAAAGTTAGTTCAACTAATTTTAACAGGGCACGAAAGTTTTTTATGGCTTCACACACAACAGGCAATTTGCTTGTGGTAGTAAGAAGACTTAAAGCCTAATCCTTACATACGAAAGAAGTTATAATAAGGCTCTAAACTTTACATTCAACATGCGCAAAATTCTGAAATCAAAAAATGCGAAAGTCAGTGCCTAAAATTTTATTTAAACAACACCGAAACATTTTTCTTTAGTCTGAGTAAACTATTCAATCTCAACATTGCCTCCGTTTTTAAACAAATCGTGCAGCTGTCCACTAATAACCATCATTGAATCACTTTCATTGTACACTAACTGGACATAGATCGATACTAGCAAACTTTTTATTATCTATATTTTATATTCGTTTTATTATCAGTGGATTATGGACATTCTCCTACATACCCATCCAACTATCATAAAACCAGTAGCTTTATGATAGATGAGCATGATTTAAAGCATGAACTGGAATGGACTTGAAGTATTCATTAGTTAAAAAAATGGCATAAAACGAATTTTTAAACTTTGGAGTGTTTTGGGCGGTTCTTCATTTTAACATCGTACACTTCTAAATCCGAGTTCTGAAGAATCAGTTGAGACATCGCTCCGAGACTTTTAGCACTCATCAGCAGTGATCATCTAATGAGCCTTAAAGGACCTAATCAAATTCCTCCAATGTTCTCTTCCAGATCGGGATCACCTTAAAAGACCAAAGTGTTGTAAAACAAGTTGTATTTCTTGGTTGCAGCACAAGCCACGCCCCCGTCCTCACACCGCGTGAGAACCATCCGAAGACAGTCCTCCATCGAAACGCAGCAGCAGGCTGCCGCCCCTCCAATCGCCGCCACTGCCACCACCAGCCATGCTCATTCCAGTGCGCCGCTGTCCAGCAGCACCAGCTACTACACCAACAGCCCCAGTCCTCCGGTACCGCAAGGCGATCAGCCGCATGGGGATGAGGTAAAGGGCTGGCAAAGTCAGCCACTTTTACATCAGCGCGTGTTGCAGGTGTTGGTGCCAGTGGACGCGGGCGGAGGGCCTCCTCTTCCTCCCAACCTTGTACCTCAACATTCCGAAAAATTAGAGATCAATCGCTCCCATTTAGACGCTTTGTATAGCCAGTTAGATACGTTAAGTCGGAAGGTGGAGACGTTGGAAAGCTCACTGGGGCACGATGTGCGGACGATACTGACGTTGTTGCAGGAGCGCTCCACTGTGAGCAATGTGCCACCTTGTCCAAGCGGCCCGGTACCTGGATGGTTCGTTGGTGAGGTCGCAATGATCAAGGAATCTGAGGTGCATTCTATTATTTGCCTTCCTTCCATGTGTAACTTTGGTTTTAAATGTAGGTTCCAGAAGAACATTTAGCCATCGATTCTTCAGCCAGTCGCAGCCGATCGACGTTTCAAAGGTCCGTCAGTGAGCCGAAGCCTATCAGTAGAACGCATCATTCCCAAGTATTACACAGGTGAGCATATGAGGAGAGATTGGAGGAGAAAACTGGCGCCTATGAAGGCCAAATACCAATCAAGATATGGCGCACATTTTCGATGTTCTCGGACGTTTGAAAAATCTCTGGCTGAAAAAGTGCTGCTTCAACAACCTTTCCTTCCCAAAAACTGATGTGGAACATGAAAACTAATGTATGGTTGAGGCGGATTTATGTTTTCAAAACCGATTTTCTGGGTATTTTGCCTCAAAAATTTTTGTTTTTTTTTTCAGAGACAAAACTTCTTTTACAGATTGTAGCTAATTAATAAATTGTTAAACAAAGCGAAGTTTTTACAAATTGTGATTGTTTTGCTTTTACTTTCCGTCTGTTTTAGAAGACAAACATTTTTGACGCAAAACACCCAGGAAAACGGCATTGAAAACATGAAAACTAATGTTGTGAAGTAAGGTTAAACTGCAATAATTTTTGCAATAAATCAACAAGTAAATGTGTTAATGAGAACAGCGTTGTTTGCAGATGCGATCGAAGGTTGCCAAATTTCTGGTTTTCTCTCGTTATCTCAGTTATTACTAAGATTTAATGACGTACATATTGGATGACTTCGTGTGTAATTTTTTTTGAAAAACAATGAAATTTTCTAGGTTTGCCTCATTTAATAAAGCCTTCGATTTTGAAAGATTTCAAGATTCCTCTTGGATGGAATGCCTTATATCCAAGGACAAGGACCTGCTAGACGAAAAAACCGCTCCCATTGCTAAATTAGAGTCTTTAGATGAATTAGATTTGGTAGGTGCGACTGTTTCGGTTTCGATTTGATGTGATTGCCTGCCATTTTCCATTGCAGGAATCTCCTCTAGGTAGTCCAATAAAAAAGTTGAAAAAATAGCGACTTCTAACTGTTAGAAAACTGGAAAAACAAATTTATCAGGGCTTTTCTTTGCCGAAACACAAGGAGTGGGGCCGACAATGTTCAGCGGACAAGAACGGGCTCGCAAGTTGCTGGAAAATTCGATCCAGGATTTGAGGATGTGAATTTGTGCAAAGCGCGCAGCATTGAATCTTCCATTTCGCTCCAGGAATTTCCCGAATTTTTTTTGAATCCACCTCCAAGAGCTTTCTATTTGCATTTAACGATTCTGAAAAACGCAAATAAACGACGGATGGCCGCAGCTTTCTAATAGACTGTTACAAATTTATTATCTCCCTTAAGATGTTATACTTAAATCCATACACAATAACTGACTGAAGTTTTTATTTGTCGAGGGATTACAGAAGTATTGTTACACACAGTGATAGTATTTTTACTTATGATATAAATTCGTAAATGCTAAGAGCTTGATGATTACACTTTTGTGATGGAGCGGCATGTTTTTAAAGCCAGTTTGTCTCAATTGGATTCAGTGCAATATTGGCTTTAAGATGCATTTCCGATAGTGAGCGAGCATAAACTATACTGGGAATACCAAAAAAAATCCGTCTTGTATTATTATTAAAGTAATGAGAACAACGGTTATAAAACTGTTTATCGTTCTACATAGCATGGTTAAGATTCGCCACATTTCTTCTCAAACAACAAAGTTTCTCTAATAAGTTTATTGGCGTGCAACAGCTTGACTACGCAACTTGCAAACTGTGCAGATTTTAAGGAATTGGTGCAGATGAACAAAGGTACTAAAAACTAGTTTAAAAGACTGCGCCAATTCTTGGCACGAAAGCGTCTGCAGATATTGTTTCTGGTTTAGTATTGTATAATCCCATGTACAGAAACTGTTAACTGTTAACTGTTTAAGCCACTGTAAAGGAACTGGCACGATTTTCCGTTGATAAACCAAAGTGCAAATTAATAGGTAAAATTGTAATTATTGTGATATCCCTTCCATTGCCACTCATTGGGTAATGGTAGGAAATCTAGGGCTAAGGAAATCTTTCGCTTCTTCCTACGTCCGCTTTTTAAAGCTAAACATTTCTGCTTTGAACGAATAATCCAGGGACTGCTTCAAAAGGACAGCAATTTTCAAGAGGATTCAATGAAAGTAGGGACCTACTTAGTTCGGATTATGTACATAGCTTATAAGGCTTACAACGTTGAGCACCTTCACTATATCAAATAACTTGAAAAGCAATAAAAGTAGCGTTAAACGAGTCTAGTTATCAGCGCTGAAAATGGCGTTTATGTAAAAACCCTGTTGGAACATAAAATTAATTCTGTACTGTGATATGGGTGACAAATGTATATTTTCTAAGTGCATGAGCAAAAGTGCTTTAAATCTAAGGCGATAGTTTGTGAGTGTTGAGGTGGGCAAAGTCCAAATGTTGTTATTCTTGAGGAAAAAAATGATTGAAATTATGTTTCCTGTTTCGTTTACTGTAAGTAGACGTAAGCAGTTGCGTGGTCAAGCCATTGTTCAATACCGCTTGTTTTTCATCACTATTAAAGTACTTATGAAGAAGTTGAAAACGCTTGTTACCTATGAAATAAAAATCATTAAAACGAGTACATTTGATAAGCACAAAATATAATATGTTTATACACGTTTTATCATCATATTTTTAATAAATACTATATAATTTTGAAAAAAGCCCAAATAAAGTCGACGAGCTGTCTCTGTTTGAGGCACGTGCAGTTATTGAATCTTGACAAGTGTTTTTCTATCCGCAATCCCATTTTATTGATTTGTGAATTTCGTGAAAATCGCACCGACCAGAAGATTAAACAATAAAAATTCTTCTCACTTCGAAGAATTGTTTCTGTTCATTGTGTTTACATTGTTTATAATTAAATCCTCCATTATACCCGCAGGTGCTCATTAAGTTCCAACTAAATCGCTAATGAGACTTTCTTATACAGTGGCCCAAAAACACTGAAACTGTTCCAATCCTATTCAGTCCCAACTGCTCTTAATTTGGGCAAATATCCTCAGGCCAATGCTATTTTTTGATTATCAAAAATACCTCAAAACCTCGTCAGTTTAAAAAAAATTAGGTTGTATTGATCTTTCTTGTTAATCACCGGGTATACCCGGCAGACCACCTTAAACGGAAAGAAGGTCAGGTGAACGATAAAATCACAGATTGTTAACCAGTACTCGACTTTCATTTTCTCCAAACGGGTTCGCTGCTGCTAATCTTCAAATCTCAGCTGAGAAAGATTTGTAGCAGCTTGCTGCTTTTGCTTCTTAGTTTAATTTCTTTCTTAACATGAAGCTGTTCTTCTTGTGCCTAGTTTTCCTCGTTGCTCTGATTGCTTTCAGTGAAGCTGCGCCTGCTGAACCCTCTCTCAGCAGTGGTTCCAATGCGAAATGTAAGTGAAATTGTTGGGTTTTTGGGGGGCGCAAAAATAACTCTCTAACATGCGTTTTTCAGCTGCCTTTGGACAACCTTTTGATGAAGTTGTAGTTGAGTCCACTCTGAATGTTAAGCGGAAAGTGAATTCCGGGTCGAGACAATCGAGAAATGGCCAAGACGCTTCGGTTAGGACAAAACGGCAAGAGTAAGTAGGAAATACAACAGGTGAAAAAATTTTTGTGCCCAGTCGAAAAAGAATGCTTTGATTGATTGCAAAAATTACTTTCCCAAAAGAGGGTAAAGTCCGATATTTTTGAAAAAAGATTCAAATTCTCCGAATATTAATAGCTTTGTTTGTATAATAGTGGCATAGTGTTGCATTGCTGAAAACTATTTAAATAACATTCTAAGCACAAAAACTATCATCTAGCTCCAATTCAAAAGTTTAAAGAACAATTACACCTATCGTTGAATGGTCTGGTCCATTGCTTCTTCTCAATGTAAATCTGGTGCGTTTTTCGGGCCTCCAGGCACCCAAAACTCACCAGTTTTTAAGATTCATTGGTGAAAACAATTAGTTGTTGACAGTTTTCTTAGAAAGTCTTGATTTCAAGAAGTTTTAGGTTTGTGGGTTTTTTTGAGATGCAAAATCAAACACCGCACGGCTTTTTTCGAAGTTTCTCAGGAGCCATTTGAGCCACAAAATTCCTTTTGGCATCGTTGGATAGAGAATTGAAAATCTGATTCAGTCATCACAGGATGAGTGAGGAAATYCGAGTAGTTGTAACCCAGAAAGCGAAATTTGAATAGCAGACACTTAGGTGTAAGATTTTGCCAAAATTGCATGTTTTCCGTCCCGTTTTTGCTCATTTCTCGGAAGCAAAATGGGCAAAACGCTCTATTTTTACATCATTTTATAGAGATCTAAATGGCCTCTTTTGAAAGTGAAGCATTGATAACGAGATGTAGGCCGTTTTCTCTAAAAGTATTGATTTCAAGAAGTTGTAGATTTGCGTGGTTTGTTTCTGAGTTGGAAAATCGTCTCATACATGAAGCTGCTTTTTCCGAAGTTTCTCAAGAACCATTTGAGCCACAGAATTCGTTTTGGCATTGTTGGATAGAGAATTGAAATCTCGATTGAGAAATAACAACATGAGTGAGGAAATTCGATTAGTTTTGACCCAGAAAGTGAAATTTGAATATCAGACACTTAGGTGCGAGATTTTGCCAAAATTTCATGTTTTCCCTCCCGTTTTTGCTCATKTCTCGGAAGCAAAATGGGCAAAACGCTMATTTTTTACATCATTTCAGAGAGAACTAAATGGCCTTTTTAGAAACTGAAGCATTGATAACGAAATGTGGACAGTTTTCTCAAAAAGTGTTGATTTCAAGAAGTTTTAAATTTGCGTGGTTTGTTTCTCAGTTGCAAAATCGTGTCAGACATGCTTTTTTCGAAGTTTCTCAGGAACCATTTGAGCCACAAATTTCGTTTTGGCATCGTTGGATAGAGAATTGAAAATTTGATTCAGTGATAACAACTAGCTTGAGCTTGAAGCTTCGGGTTTGAAGCTGAAGGTTCGGATTTACGAAATTAATCAGTCAAATAATGAGCAAATTGCTGAAGAGCCCAAATGTCCTCTCAACAAATTCCCGTTGAACATGGAAATTGCTATTTCGATTTTCAGAAATATCGAATTCAGAAAACTAAAATTCTTCTTAAATTCTCAAATAAAAAATATCTTTTTCGTATGAATTGAAAAAATCTGAAACTAACAGTGATTTCGCGGTTATTTCGTGAAACTCACCAGTTTGATCAATTTGTTAATTAAGCGTTTTATCCATCGACACATAATCTAAAAAATGAGCTTTGAACATCAAACAGCTGGCTTTTTAGGCCAGCCTGCAAACAGCTAATTTCATGTTCCSYASCAGAACGGGCGTAAGAAATATATTAGCAACAGGCATGTTGTTGGCGATAATAGAGTAAATTTCCGCCATGCCCTGATAAAGGTCTACACGAAAGTCCACTAGCAGACATCAAATCGCAGGCAATTTAAACGGAAAACCCCGCAGAATAACACTACAATGTCGACAAATTAATGTGTTTGTCTGCAGGCAAAAAAACAATGAACTGAGAAGCTTCCATTTAATAAATATCAAAAGTAGCACCCCGGCAAGAATGTGCATCGTTTGCTTACGGATTGTGTTGTAAGCGTGACATGCATAAGCTAAACCGTTCATAATTTGCAAAAGTTGCACGTTGTGCAATATGCAGCAATTTCCATATATTCGAACTTCTTTCTCTTCGAAGAGTAGCAGGAGCTTTAAAAACCGGCCGAAAATATGGAAATATCCTCAAAACTCCACTACTGAATGCCAGAAGGCTCCTGTCATAAGTCCTGCCGAGCCTGACAGCGATAGACGTCAGAAAGTTGCACATTTGAAAACCGCGAATTTTTGCAAAAAACACCCCACCGATCGGGAAAATTACACAAAACGGTGAAGAAAAGCTTCATTTTCGGGAATATCAAGAATATTTCACACAAACCCGGAAAAAAGTTGGGGTTTTTTTTGCATTTTCCGCGGAGCACCACACACACGGTCTTTCCTGCTCTGCAGTAAACAGCCGTCTGAGGAAATGTTATGGGCATTGACGTGATCACTTGATAAAAATAAATCAGGCTTTTTCGCAAAAAATAGCCCATTTTCATAGCAGCAGATTTTTTTCAGACATTTTCTGAAAACTTACCGAACCTCAAAACTCCACTCTTGAACCCGAATCCCTGCCAAATTCTACCAGGTCTGACAGCGATAGACGTCACAAAGTTGCAACTTTAAAAACCGCATATTTTTGCGAAAAACTACATAAAACGGTGACGAAAACCATAATTTTTGAGAAAATTATCAATATTGCGCGCACAAACCGGAAAAAGTTGGGTTTTTTCTTAATTTTGCCTGAGCACAATACGCACAGTCTGTCCCAAGGCGCAGTCAACAACCGACTGAGGAAATGTCATGAGCATTGACATAAAACAGAATCAACATAAATAAAGGCTTGTTTTTTATAAAAATGGCCTTAGGCTCAAAAAATTGCTCAACTACACCAATAGTTGAATCTTCAACAGTCAATTGCTTCTATCGGTCTTCCAAACAATTTAAAAGCCTTCAAGCTTCCTTCACTCAAACGAAATCATTGTTCATTTCGTCTCAATGTCGTTGCTTTACCACGAATCACGAGAAACAGCGGCAATGCACTAAATGCCCACTTTTTAATCCAAATTTTTTCCTTTCCAGGACCCACTGATGCAGGCGCAGCCCCATCATCAGGCAGTTAATTAACAATCAACTTCGCTTATCTGTATAAAGCCATGTACTTAATAAATTATATCTGAAAACAGTTCATAATTTACTACTTGCACTAACAATCAGTTTTAACTCTCTTGGGCCCTAAAGCCATTCAACCGCAGATCTTTAACAGTGTTCCATGTTCGGTTTCAATGCCGTAATAGAACGAAAAGGCCCACTAAGGCCAGGGTGTGGATGTTTAAACTTGAACTGGCTGCTGCGGACTTTACGCAGACATCCTGATTAAGGGACGAGCCGATCGGACATTGGCACAACATGTTGCGGCATTCGAAGCTATCGCCCAGAATAATCGTGCAGTCCATTTTAGTTGTGCACAGCGAACCAGGATCTGCAAGCGCCATAAGGGTTAGCTCCCTTCTATTCTAGTCTGCTGTGACTTACATTTGCGCAGGTAACACGTCTGCTCTTTATCCACATAATCGTCTGCGCACAAACAGCGACTGGTAGAGTTCTCTGGCGCAGAGTCGTCTAGCAGACAGGAAGCATGCGGCAAGTTAGAGCACTGCTCTTTGAAAACACACTCTTCATATAGAGCTGTTGAGTCTAAAAAAACCACAACCGTAGGCTTTGCCTGAGATAAACGGAGGGATTTTCTTACACTTTTCACACCGTAATCCATCAGTTGCATAGTCCAGGCTTTCGCAGCGACACTCATCATCCTCTGAGCATTCAGCATGGTTTATATGGGAGCAGTTTCTCACCTCGCACGAAGACCCGATCTCTGCAACCGCAAAAATGAGGCAAAACACTCAAAAAACAGCTACCAACTCCTTACTGGGCAAACACAAGCTTTCTTCGCTTGGCCTGTAGAAGCCTTCAGTGCACTGGCAATGCTCATCCACGCATGTTTCATAAAGCGCACATTCGGAGTCGGATAGACACAGTCCGGTCCAATCAGCATCCTCCTTCAAATTGCAGTAGAACGAGGTTTCATTGAAAACAGCCTGGCTGCTGCACACACACTTTTGTGTAGCTGAGTCGCAGTATGCGTAGTTGCCCATCGCTTTGCACCACTCATTCGTCATGCAGTTGTCCGTATATTGGAGAGTAGCTGGAATTATAATATGAAATATCAGTGAACCCAAACTAAGCTGGTTGCTTCGACGCACTTTTAGTGCATTCCCTATTGGTGCCGTCCTGGAACCAGTAGCTGCGGCAATAACAAGCTCCATTTGAATAGCTTCCAGGCCTGATCGGACAATCTGATACGTTGAAGTTGGTTCTTGTGATATCAGGCATTCCCAATTCCGCAATACATTTGCCTTCGTGCAGGAAAAATCCCTGTCTGCAGATGCATTCGGAGTTTTTGAAAAATAGCGTTTTGGGGCAGTTGTTGCATTGTTCCTCAGTGAATGCGGTCAAATTGCCTGAAATTGTATTAAAATTATAATTATTTTGAGAAATTGTGGAAATTGAATGCAAAAACGTGTAAGTTTAAAAGCGCATGATTTCGAAAACCATGCAATATTTCTGATTAGTCATAAGAACCTTTTCAATGAAGAATTTGAAGTCCTACATTTTCCAAGATAAGGTGAATCAAAAATGTTGACTTCCATGGAGGTAAACCAAAAATTTGGTGAGTCATTCGATATTTTCGTGGATACCTCGGAAACGGCCGGAACTAGCTGAATAATTATAAGAATCTTTTCGACAGAGCGCCCGAAGGGCCATTTTTTGATAGGAATTTTTATTAGAAATTCCTAACCTATAAAGAGATAGAAGTAAAATTGCTAAATTTTCAACGGCGGTTTATGTTTAAGAGCGTCTATCTTGGAAACCATTGAGAATTTTCGAGTAACTATTAGAACCTTTTCTATAGAGCGTCTCCAGAACTGTCCTTTCTTCGTTAAGTGTTATCAGAAATTTCTAACCTTTAAAAAGTTATAGTGAAAATTATACATTTTTAGCGGCAGTCGATGTTTACGAGCGGGCATTTTGTAAACCGTGGCGAATTTCTGAGTAACTATTAGAACCTTTTCTATAGAGCGTCTCGAGAACTGTCCTTATCTCTTTAAAAAACATCTGAAATTTTATACCTTTAAGAATCAGACAAAATTGTTGAAAACTCTTCACCGTTTGCACACATCTGGAAAAACATCAGAAATATCGCAAGATCGATAAAATGCAGTAAAATGCTTAAGGACGTGGTACTATTCGCGTTTTTGCAGACATTGCGGATTATACTCCAATTACAATTTCTGGATGTTTTTCACTAAAAACAAACAGCAAACCGCGTTTAACAACCAATTTTCCAGAATTATTTCAAACCCATGCTATCAGCAGCACAGAAACCATCCACTTACCTTCAAGACAAACATCATCAAATATATCAAAATCCTCAGACTGTAGTTGATCCAGCACCAAATCAACATTGTTCTTCGTGTTATTCAATTCAGTAATCACCTGGCCCGGATCAGCAACACATACGCCCAACTCACAATGGCTAGTGATGGTTTTGTCCTCGAAAAGACTCGTCTTTGGAAAACAATCATTAAATATTGCGCAAGCTGGAATTGAATTAGGAAATTTGAAAAAACCCAATCCTGGAAAGAGCGTGTAAAATTTTCCAAAGGCTTACTTTCATTAACCACGGCCTTTAGGCGACAGCCATCGGCTCTATCATAGAAACCGTCGCTGCATTCGCAAATGCTGCTGTTTCCGCAAGTTAATGCCAATGGATTGTCCAAGTCCATACAAATTGTATCCGTGGAATCGCATGGTTCGTTCTTCTTTGCGTATTTAACGCATTGTCCCTTGTACCATCTAGTAGACAATTAACTAGTCAGTAAAAAATTAAGTTTTGCTGTGGATTCATCTCCTTTGACTTACCTGAAGCCGGACTCGCAAGAACACACGTTATTAACGCACTGGGCATGATGGCCCAGAAAATCCGCACATTGCTTGCTTTCGTAGCAAATGTCTCCGTATTCTGTTGCATCTAATTCATTGTTAATTAATTATTTGTTTTTACCTATATAATAATGCTCTGCTTACATTTTACACATTTTCCTTGCTCATCCAGGTAATACCACAAGCTGTCGCAGGTGCAAATTTCATTTTTGCATACGCTTTTCTCCTGAGGTACACAATCGCTGTTGTTGACGCAATTCTCGTTTAAAGCCACGCAAAATTCACTAACTGTAATATAAAAGTGCGTGTTTTTTTATTTTATTTGTGAATATTGCAGGAATTTGAATCAAAGACGTTCCTGCAGCCGCTGCTGTGTTGAAGAATTTAATTTGCACAGCGCGCTTTAAATAATCCAGTTAAGGTATGGAGCCTGAAGTGATTTCCAGCTATTTTAGTTAAAATGCAATTAGTTCTTAATAATCATAGTAAAATGAAGTCTAGAAAATCCTTTGCGATACTTGAGATTTCAATGTATAATTTTAAGCGTTTCGTTACATTTTCAAGTGTTCCTTAATTTAGGCAATTTTGACGAAACCTGATGGTACTCAAGTAGTGGAGATTGACGCAGCTGCTTTTCCATTTTGCCTCGATTTAAACGACATCAATATTCACCCGCATAAGACAAAGTTCAATAAAAAAACTTAGTAAAAGCACTTTTTTGATTAAATGTTAAACAGAAAATTAGTTGTTTCTTTTAAATGAATGAAAAAGTACTCACCGGCAGCAAATAAAAAAATCAAAGCTATCAGCTTCCACATGACGATCTTTCAAGCCAATCGCGGTCACTGAATTCTCGCTCATTAATTAATCTCCTGGACAACTCAGAATCTAATATGAATTACTATATTTTAATCAGCTTCTTAATCTACTTGAAATCGATCACTTTCCGCTTTTCCCAAGTGCCCAGATGATTCATCCAATGAAGCTTTAACATACTTTTTTCCGATAAAACAAATTCCAGTGGAAGTGGAAGATAAACGATATTCATCCTAATCACTTGATGCTTCAGTTGCGGCTAAAGCTAACTGAAATAATTAGGGGACACTGCAGAAGCCTCAACATTGGAATTGGAGCATTTAAGACAAAATCAAATGTTTCCAGTCAGGGTTTATCTCGAGATTTTGCAGGTGTTCTCTCGACAATCGAATCTAATATAGAAACAGGTGATAACGGTGGTGTTATCGGTCAATCCATATCCGTAAGATTCCCAAAGCAGGTGTGGAATTTATCAGTTTTACAAGGATTTTGAAATGTTGGGAGCCAGTGGGGATTCAATGCTGCCAAGTACACATGTTGAAACAGATTCGGGATATTTTGCTAACATTTATATCAATTAGCGCCTTTCTGACATACATGTATACTTAAAAATAATCCATTTACAATAGTAAAATTGGCTAAAAGCAGCCACAAAAGTGAGGCAGTAGTACTAGCATTAAACAGCAGTATCAAGAGTTCGTTTATACAAATCAACTTGTTCTATCACATCATCGATGTACGGTCTTTCGGCAGGATTGACTTTCAAAATAGACAAAATTTGGTCATGCAGTTCCTGAAACATTGAAAAAAGTTGGAGAATGCTTAATAATTTGTAAAACGCGCAGCAAACCTTTGGAAAAGGGGCGTCTTCAGGAAAGTATATATTTCCAGATATCACAGCCAGGTTCACCGAGTCGCCTCGTTCATAAACAGCATCAAATGGCGATTTAAAGTAAAGCAGGGCATAAAGGAGACAACCTAAGCTCTGAAATGAAACAATCGATATTAAAAAATTCAGTAATTTTGATCG